TTTTCCATGCTTGCGCCCGCCAGGTTTGGGCCCGAGGTGTTTTCACTAAGCCACGTTTTGCTAAAGGGGGTTCTGTCCATCCCCGAAGGGTCACTCCTTGCGTGTAGCCGACCACTGTGATTTTTGTTCAGCCCACGGCCCAACCCAGAGCTCCCGCCCGTCCCCCAGAGAAGTGGTCCCAGACATGCGACGTCCTGATATTTCCATACGTTTAAGTCGGGCCTGTCCCTCCACAGTGGAACATTCAAAAACAATCCAAAAATAATCTGGGGATGACGTTTCCATTATATGTTTGAACACTTTGCGAGTATTTTTAAGCTTTCGTCCATCATCCGGCTGTAGGAGGACATGCCCGACTTAACAATACGGGGCCGCTGGGACTTCCGACCCTTTCCCCGGGATCGGTTTTTCATCCTGAGATGCTTTTTGACGGTCCCGAGGCCCGGCGAGGGCCCCGAGGGGCCGAAAACGGCCAAAAACCTCCCGTCCCGATTTTTGTCACGACGCGATCCTGTCTGGGGACTTTCGCCCCCGAGAACCCCTGCTCGATGGACCGGGGACGCCCAGAGGCGGTCCCCCCGGAGGCCGAGATCGAGAAACAGCAGTCGGTGGGATGGGAGATATCACAGCCCAGGGGCAGCGATACGGAGGGGATGCATTCCCAGACACGATCGCGTCGTATAGAAATCAGGACGGGAGACTTTTGGCCGGTCTCGGCCCCTGGGAGCCCTCGCCTGGCCTCGGGACCGTCAAAAACCACTCAGGATGAAGAACCGGTCCCAGGGAAAGGGTTGGGACTCTCATGTGCCCCGCATTTACAAAATCAGGACGTCGCATGTCTGGGGGTTCGGAACGGTCCCGGCCCCTTAGAAGCGGTGCTCCCGCTGCAGCTTTAGGCTTCCCAGATGGGTCCGAGCAGATGGGCTCGGGGGGTCGCGCCACATCGCCGGTGCATCGCCGATATGCGGCTCGATGAGGAGGCCGATTTGCTTCACGCCGACGTCGCATATCTGGGTACGGTGGGTTCCTGTCTTGCCGACGCGGCAGCGACCCGGCTGCGGGCGTTCAAGGTTGAACGCCGCCAGTGGCTTTGAGCCGGCCAGCACCGGACGATCGACCAAGGTTGAACGATGCATGCGGTGTCAGAAACCAACGCCGGGGTCGTCACGAAACGAACCTGCCGTAGGGGGGGATGCATCGACCCCTGATCACCCATGGATCGCCCACATGGGCCAGTTAGCCCCGCCCCGCCCAAGAGCGTGCGGATATCTGCTGCCGGTGGCCTGTCGCCGATGTGTCGGCGATGTCTCGCCGCTTCCAGGTCGATGCTCCCCCCGTGTGCCAGTCCCCCCCCCCTATCGTTGCCTCTCAACATTGTCGGAGATCGGGGGCCGGCTGACTCGAGAAGCTGGGCGGGGCCGCCGGTCTCTGGTACACGGCGGGCGCGTGGGCGATGCCGTCGGCGGAGATTGTCGGCTGCGCGTAAGTCGGCCACGCGAAGAGGGCGGTGTAGGGGGAGGGGGGAGGCTTCTTAGATGCACCGCTGCTTCTTAGAAGTTGTCGGCCTTCTCTGCAGATGTGATTCGAGCCTGTGCCTCCTCAGAAGCAGGGTGATTTCTAGGGAGCCCTCCCCCTCTCCCATACCCCCTTGTGCGCGCCGCCAGGTAAGAGAGACCCGATTGGCGGAGAGACCTGTGGTGCGGGCTCACAGTGGTGGCTCCAGCACTGGCCCGCGCGCTTGGATTTGGGTCCACTGCTGTCCCCTCAAGCCGCGCACCAAAGGTCACTCTTGCCTACAAGGTTACTCTTGCGCGTAGGCGATATTTGTGCCGCCTCCCTCCTGGCCTCCACCGCCAGGACACCGCGATCTTCCTAGAGCCCGACACCGGGCGCATGAGGCCGCCCCGTTTTGAGGAGCAGTAAGGAGGAGAAGGAGGAGGTTGTGGGTACCGTTTGGAAGGGATATGCCAGGGGGAGAATGCATCGACCACGAATCGCCGACTGATCGCGGATAGGGGCCCGATAGCCCACACGGCCCATGACCGTGCGGATCGGCTTTCTGGCGTTTGTCGCTGATCAATCGGCGGTGTGTCGCCGATTCCAGTTGTATGTCGGCCCCCCCCCTGGTCCAGTTCCCCCCGAACGTTCCTCCTGAGGAGCGGATCGCCCAAGGGGAAGGCATTATCGCTTGCACTGGTACTGAGAACCAGCCTAGCTTTGGAGGCCCCCATGCCCTTCCTGTTAGGGGGCCCTCCACCCTGGGAGTGCTCCTGTCCTCTGCGCGTGTCCCTCTCTGAGGCCTTGCACCTTTTTGGCGAAAGGTCGCATGCTGTTGACCCACGGTCTCGTGATCGTGTCTTCACCATGCACGCGCTCGCCTGTCACATACCGGGGCGACTGGCGCTCCTGCAGACGCGTAGTGCCCACCGCCTACGTTATCGGCCCCTGCTGCAGCCACCGACAGGATGAGGACGAGGCGGAGGTAGTGTTCTTCCTCCACCTCGTCCTCCCCCCGCATGTCCTCGTTCTCCTGCTTCCCCTCCTCCTCCTCCTCCTCCTCCTCCTCCTCCTCCTCCTCCTCCTCCTCCTCCTCCTCCTCCCCCTCCTCCTCCTCCTCCTCCTCCTCCCTCCCTCCTCCTCCCTCCTCCTCCTCCTCCTCCTCCTCCTCCTCCCCCTCCTCCCCCTGCTCCTCCTCCGCCTCCTCCTCCCCACCTCCTCCTCCTCCTCCTCCTCCTCCTTTTCCCCTCCTCCTCCCCCCTCCTCCGCCTCCTCCTGCCTCCTCCTCCTCCTCCTCCTCCTCCTCCTCCTCTCCTTCCTCCGCCACTGCTGCACGAGCTGAGTGCGACCTCTCTCCCCCGATGCCGTGCTTGCTCGCCGCCGCCTCTCTCCTTCACACGCGTGTCTCCACGCCGGATCTACGAAGGTTGCATTCCACCTGCGTGCTGTTTTCATCTCAGGCACGCTCGCGTCGTTTGAAAAAATAAGGACGGGAGCTTTTTCCCCGTTTTCGGCCCCTCGGAGCCCTGGCCGGGACTCGGGACCGTCAAAAAACGACTCAGGATGAAAAACCGGTCCCAGGCAAAGGGTTGGGACTCTCATGTGCCCCGCATTTGCAAAATCAGGACGTTGCATGTCTGGGATCGGAACGGTCCCGGCCCTTTTAAAAGCGGTGCTCCCGCTGCAGCTTTGCTTCATTTGCTTCACGGCGACGTCGCCGAGCTCGATGAGGAGGCCGCTTCGCTGAGCGGCTCGATGAGGAGGCCGATTTGCTTCACGCCGACGTCGCCGACGCATCGCCGACGTCGCCGATCCTCCGACCCCATCTACTCGGACCCCATCTATAGGAGGCATCTTAGCAGCCCGGGCCACATGTCAGGTTCGGTGCTCGGCTCCCGTCGTGCCGCAAGTGATGGCGCCCCCGAGCCGCGGCTGGCCACGCGTATACTTCTGGCTCCGCTTCGTCCCCTGCCCTCCCGGGGACCCTCGATCCGCTTCTGACCTCTCGGGGGCGGCCGAGAGGGGGTGATGACTAGGGGTGTGTGGATATCATGGCGGGGCCATGATATCTCCCCAGACTTCATGACGCCTCTTCTTATTTCAATGCGTCCCTGGCGCCCCCCTGGGCCGCGCACGTGCCGCCGGCCATGATTTGCGCCCCCCCCCCCCCCCCCTCTTGGACGTCCCCCTCTTGGCCGTCCCCGATGTGCGTCCCTCGATCCACTTTTGATCCTGGGTCCCGGAAGCGGCCCCTGGCGGAACGTCGGGGGAGAACGCCGCGAATGTATACATCACGTCGTCGGACCCGGACCCAGAGGCTCAACGCATTGAAGAATTCAAGACGGAGGTTTTTTTTTCAGTCTTCGGCCTCTAGGGGTCCTCACCAGGACCCAGGACTGGCAAAAGACAACTCAAGGTGAAAAAACGGTCTTGGGGAACGGGTCGGGGCTTCCAGAGACAGGGTATTGAACATAATCACGACATCGGATCTCTGGGGACATGCGATATCCTGATTTGTTCCATATTCGGTTGCCAGAAGTCCCGACCTTGCATAGCTGAAAATGGAGCAGCAGCACTAGGGGGACACTCACGATGGCGATGGCGATGGTGGGGAGGCGGCGGACGATGAGCAGCGCGATGCGGAGGAGGAGGAGGAGGAGGAGGAGGAGGAGGAGGAGAGCGAGGAGGATGAGGAGGGCCAGGAGGAGGATTGGAAGGAGGAGGAGGATGATGCTGGCCGCCCAGATGTTCTCACGAAGCTGGACCTCTGGGGAGGTCTGGGCCTCCATCGCCTGGGGCCATCGCCGGCCTTGGGTCGGGCTTGTCCTCCCGCAGGCGGATTTGAGGGATGAAACATAAAGAAAATAGCCAAACACAACAATTCATAGGTAGCCAAGAGCAGTCGGGAAATCGTCCCCCGACCATTCTTTAAAACTATTTTTGGGCATTCCTCCCGCAGCGGGACACGCCCGACTTGACGCCAGCCCCGACGTCGGGCGGCAGCCCTGCGCGCACAGGCGGTCGGCCGGCCCGCCAGAGGGGCAACCGGCAGCCGACGCGTGCCCGGGGCCAGGGGGCTGCTGGGAGGGGTCGGTGTGGCGAGGGCGGTGTCGCCGGGCCGGAGGGCCCCCCCCCAGATGGGCTCGACTACAAGCACAAAGTGTTCTTTTCTAAGTCTTCGAAAGCTCTTTGACTTCCTGGGGGGCCAAGGTGCTGTCGTTTCCAATTGTTCTGTCCTGGGCCTCTTCCTGGCCACTAGGGGGCCAGGGGCTGCCAGGAGGGTCGGTTTGGCGAGGTCGGCTTCGTCCGGCTGGAGGCCCCCCCCCCCATCGACGTCTGTATGCATTCGCCCGTGGGGACTGGCGTGCGCAGACGGTTGCGCCGGCATGTGCAGGCACTGGAATCACACGGTTCCTTCTTGTCGTGACCAAGGGTTACCCCTTTAAGTTCCCTCGCCTCGCGCACGTGCTCTTCCCCTTTCGTGGCTCCCCGCCTTCCACCGCAGCTATCAGGCACGAGGGGGTTTAGGCCGGCGCTCAAGGGCTGCGGCTCGCACATTCGAGTGGGCTTCCTCGATCATGTACCCTTGCCTGTGAGAACAAATCATCTGGACTTCATCGGCTCCCCCCCAGATTGGCTCGACTACACGTACACATTGTTCATTTCTAAGTCTTCGACAGTTCTTTGACTTTCTGGGGGGCCGAGGTCCCGTCGTTTCCACTTGTTCTGTCCTGGGCCTCTTCCTGGCCACCAGGGGGCCAGGAACGATTGTAAACGAGCACAATTAGCAACGAGCACGATTAGAAATGAACGACGTGTAAGAGTGACCCCTCGCCGGAGTGACCGCTGGTGCGGGCTCCTCGGGGCGGTTCCCTCGATCGCTGAGCGCGCTGCGTTGGCGGCTGCGTGCGCGCCTGGATTTGGCCACCTGGCGCCCCCCCCCCCTAGTCCGCGCACCCAGGGTCCCTCTTGCCTGGGGTCGCTCCTGCGTGTAGCCGACTCTCGGGCCGGACGAGAGGGGGGGGATAGGGAAAAAGGGGGGGGGTACGAAATCTGCTGCACGTAGCTGGCTTCGGCCCCATACCGAGGGGCCCATTCCTTGATATACATGGCCGCCTCCGGCGCCGGGAGGCGCCGCGAAAATCAGCCACGTGAGCTGATTCTCAGCACCCCCCTTTGCTGGCCCCCCCTTTCGCCCGGCCCGAGGCTCACCCATGGGGCCCCCCAGCTCGACCTGCGGCGCCCCCGCAGCCGTCGAGCTCGCCCGTCCTGGGCCGGCCCTCTCCGCCGGTTTGCCCGACCGGGGGCAGCCGGTCTGGGCAGCTCGCGCAGCAGAGCGGCGCAGCGGAGCGCCCCGAGAAGCCGGAGTCCCAGGCCCCCCTCGGGCCATGAGCAGCAAAAGCCATGAGCAGCAAAAGCCGGAGTCCCAGGCCCCCCTCGGGCCATGTCCCCTATGACGGCCAAGACGCCCCCAAGACGGCTCCGAGAATGCCCCAAGATGGCCCAAGAGGCCTCCAAAACGCCCACGATGGCCGCCAAGACGGTCCTGAAGCGCCCCAAGAGGACCCCGAGTCGGTTCAGAAAGGCTCTCGGGGGGGCCTGGCTGGGCCCCGGAGCAGTCGAGCAGCGACTCGGGATGAAGAGACGGTCCAGGGGAAGGGGCTCAAGATTTTGAGGATCCGCGTCATGAAAAAACGCTGGGGGCCTGGGGTAGTGAGTCTGGTGCCGATGGGTCGGGGGCGAGAGGTGGAATCGGGCAGTGCTGATGTATCTTTTCTCTGGTCAGATCTTGCCCTCAGTATCTCTTATCTCACATGCCACCGTGTCTGGATTGTGGGTAGGAAGCCTATGGGATGTTCGTTGGGATCTCGTGGTCGGCCTCTTGGGGGCCTCTGTCAGGATGTTTTGAGGCATCTTGGGGACCGTTGAAGGGCCTCTTGGAGCACCGGTTGGGCCTCTTGGGGGCCTGTGGGGGCCTCTTGGGGGACTCTTGGGGGCCTTTTGGAGTCTCGTCGGAACCTCTTGGGGCCTTCGGGCGGAAAGCTAGATTGTTCAGTTCGTGGTCCCTCTTTCGGGCCCCTTTCGGGACCGTCTCGGGGCCCAGGGCCGCCTTGGGGCCCTCTTCGGCTGTCTTGAAACGGTCTTGGAGGCCTCTTGGGCCGTCTGGGGGCGCTCTTGGGGGCCTCTTGGGCCGACTTTGAGAGTTGGGAAGCGGAACAGACAAGAACGCTAAAGTCCTTCAGAAACGAATGGACAATCAACGATTTTGGTTCTCGGGCCCCTCCTGGGAAGCTCTTCGAGGCCTCATGGGGGCGTCTTGGCGGCCTCTTCGGCCGTCTTGGGCCCATCTTGGGCGTCTTGGGGCGATCTTTCGGCGTCTTAGGGCCGTCCGGGGCCGTGTTCGGAGCCTCTTGAAGCCCTCTGGGCCCGTTGTGGGGCGCCCTGGGGACCGAACAATTAATGCGACAGGACGCCGGGAAGCCTTGGGGGACACGCGACAAGCCCCACGAGAGTGGGCAAGTTGGGCTCCGGGCTCCCCACAAACTCCTCAGGAGTGAGGCCTGAGGCTTAGAGGATTGAGCCCAGGACTTGAGGACACGCCCACTCCGTGCCCAGCGGCACGGTGGCGTTTCTGTTCCAAGCTGGCCCTGCTTGTCGGTCTGGCGGCTATGTTGTCGCCGTCGCCGCCCCGTCGCCGCCTCGTCGCCGCCCGTCGTATGTGCCTGATTGCCGATCTGGTTGCTATGTTGTCGCCATCGGCGCCGCGTCGCCGCCTCGTCGCCGCCCGTCGTCTGGGCCTGATTGCCTGTCTGACCACATGTTGATGCCGCCGCCGCCCCGTCGCCTCATCGCGGCTTTGCGTTACTTTGCTTTGGCTTGCAGTGTTTTGCCTTACGTGCCATAGCCATAGCTTTCCCGTATGTGTCATGCTTTTCATTGTTTCGCATTGCTTTGCATTGCTTCGCACTGCTCTTGCTTTGTATTGCAATGCGTGGCATCGTTTTGCATTGATATGCATTGCGTTGCATTGCTGTGTGTTTTTTGCGCTGCTGTCCGTTACTTTCCGTTGTTTTTCATTATTATTTTCATTATGTGGCATTGTTGCGGTGCTTTGCATTGCGTTACACTGCACTGCATTGTATAGCATATATTTGTTTTCTGTTGCACCGCTTCACGTTGCATTGCTTCGCACTGTTTTGCATGGATTGGCAGTTGTGCGCGTTGCTTGGCAATTACTTTTTGTTGCATCGGCTTGCATTGCCTTGTACAATATTGCGTTGCGTGTCACAGTCTTTGCACAGTCTTGCACCAGTCTTGCATTGCTTTGCACAGTCTTGATCATGCACCGTGTTAATTGCCCCGCACTGACTGCACCTCACTTATTGCACCGCAATGACTGCAGCACCTTGATTGAGCCTTGTAGATTGCATGAAATCACTGTTTGGCGCCAGCGCTGGCTAACGTTTACCTGGCAAGAGTAAGCCATCTCTGTGTGGGCGGGGGTGGGCGCGAACTAGTGCACGGGTGACAGCGAATGCACATGAAAAGGGATACGCGAGTGCACCCGCGCGCAACTGCTGAATCCAGCGCACAAAGTGTGGCACCCAGGCGCCAACGATTGCAAGTGCTCCCTGCCCCCCACCACCCCGCGGACCGACCCCTCGGCGCCAGACCCACTGCCTCGGCTGAACGCGCAGACCGACGGCGCGCTCGATCATGGCGCGGCACCTGCCCAGACGTGCGGCGTCGTGCTGGTTTGGACGCTGGCTCCACAGAGGTCCAGACACCTTGCCGGCAACCGGCTTCTGGTCGCGTCGCATCGCCAGCGGCACGAGCCAGAGGAGCAAGAGGTCCTGATTAAGAGAAAGCTGGTAATTCAAGATTTCCCGGGATTCCCTGATGCTCCGCACGGGCTGCAGAAACGAGGGCCGCTGGATGGTCCAGAGTTTTTGTGACGATTCTTCAGCCAATCGCACCATGGCACTTCGTGAGCGTATTGACATCTCGCGGCGAGCATCTGAACGCCTGCTGTGTAAAGATGTGGTCGAACATTTTGTTATCACAATGGGTAGATCCATGATTATATGCTCTGGCCGAAGACGCCTGCAGCAGCACTCAGGATGCCGCGTGGCCGGCGCCCTTGTCCCGCCAAGGCAGGCCGCGCCATGTTCTGACGGCGGGGCTTTGTCAGGACCCTCAGAGGCCGGAAACTGTCAAACATCATCCTTTGGACTTTTTGCCACCACGCGAGGATATCAGTGTGAGCACCTTGAGTACCGGCGGCGAGCCTAGGGGACGTGAGAGGGGGCATGCCTTCTCAGAAGACCCCTGGCCTTCTGAGAAGCCGTCTCCGTCGTCAGAATGGCTTGGACAGTTTCTCAGAAGACGCGAGGGCTTTCGAGAAGCCCCACCGCTTTCTGTGAAGGCCTGCCCCCTTTCACTCCTCCCCCCAGCTCGCCGCGGATGGTGGGCGCGCCCCTCGGCTGAGTGTCTTCGGGGAACCCGCGCAACTGTCCGAGAAGCCACTGCTGGTCCACGGCGCCCAGGCGGCTCGAGGTCTCGAGCTCCATCTCCTTCCTCTTTCTGCTCATGCCTCTCCCCTCCGGAGAAAGAGAGCAGGAGGAGGACCCGCCCCAAGAGGTCCGCAGGGGGAAAGCCCCGCCTCGATCTGTTCAACGCTTCAGAGGCTGGGAGAGGAGTTTGACGCCTTTCTGGCTCCCCAGAGAATCGTCGCTGCGCCGCGACCGAGCCGAGCCCGCCATCGAGGGAAAAAACACGATGACCATGACCAAGATGGCGCGGGATCTTGTCGATGCGGATCTAGATCATGGTCCACGCCGACCCTCGCTGATCCGCGAGGATGATCCACGAATTGACAGTGACTCAGGCGGTCGATGACCAAGATCGGCACCCAAGTTTCTGCTACCAGCCTTGGTCATCGAGGCATTTCTCCCCCGAGCAATGCTTTCACCTGGGTTCTTTTTGTTGTTTTTCAGGAGCCGGGCCGTGTCTTCGGTCCGGCGGCTACGTGGCCTCCGTCGCCGCTCCGTCGCCGCTTCGTCGCCGCTTCGTCGCCGCCCGTCGTCTCGGTCGTGCCATCGGTCTGGCAGCCATGTGGCCGCCGTCGCCGCCCTGTCGCCGCCCATCCCGTCGCCGCCTAGATTACACAACCTAGATTCTTAGATGTTCCTTTCAACAAAAAGTCCGGATTCACCACCCACCGATTCCGGGATTATCCGCCCGCCTCGATTTAGTGAATTACATATATATATATATAAATATGTATGTGTGATTATGCCCCTACGCCCATCCGAAAGATGAGTTCGTACAATCCCAGCCAGGCCGGTATAGACACGCCTCGCTATCCAACGCTACAAATTATGTGCGTTCGCATTCGTTTTTGAACTACCGCCAGTCTTCAAGGATCCTTTGCGAGCAAAATGGAATGAGTGCGCACGCATGTGTCGTCGCGCACGCATTCCGGAATTTTTCACGCATTCCTGCATTCAGCCAGGATTTCAAAATCGAGCGTCCCGTTCTGGCGAACTGGAAACCACAGGTTTCAAAATGTTCATCAAATGCTACCAACCGTGCTTCTCGCGCGCGCATGTCGGAATTATTCGAACGCTCTTGCGCGCGGTGTGTCGCAAGAGCCACTGACGAACAACGGGGTGACATGCACACGCGCGCGTCGTCGCGCGCGCATACCGGAATCTTTCACAACACCATAGTTTCGGTAAGGAATTTCTCAACCGAGTGCCCCGAACACTTCTACCGAAACAATTTTAGTTTTCAGAACTAAGAATGCTCTCGCGCTTTTGCAAATTCCATCACATGCGACCAAGCGGGCCTCTCGCGCGCGCATGTCGGAATCATTCGAAGGCCCTTGCGCGCGAGCTGGGGGGGCACGACCCCTGTCAAATAGTACCATGCGGGCCACTCGCGCGGGACGGCCGCGCGAGCATGTCAAATTCTTTCCAAAACCTTGCTCACCGAAGCGGGGACACCGTCATCGTCGTCGGCATGATCAGCATCGGCGCAGTCATTGGCCTTGCTGTCGTCATCGTCACCATGGTCGCCATCATCGCTACCGCCGTCATCGTGTCTACGGTTGTCGACGTCGCCCGCCCAACTCACCGATTCGCATTGAAGTGCCCGCTGGGAAGTGCCCAGAGGTCACCGTCACTGCGGCCGCGTCGGTCGCGCCAAACTACTTGGTTGTTGTGCGCGCCGGCATGCGCGGGCAAGCGTGGCCGCAGAGATGCACCAGCCAACACCAAGTAGTAATCGAATTTGCCGCCACATAGGTGTTGCAAACCAAGTTGCATGTCGGTGGGCGAGATGGTTGCGCGAGCTCCAAGTTTTTCAACATCAGTTGCATTTCGCAGATTGCACCGCGTAGATTGCACCACGTAGTTTGCCCACCATAGGTTGCACCACATAAGTTGCACTAGGTCGGTTGCACCGCATAGGTTGCACCACGTAGAATGCACCGCATTGCATGCATTACGTGTATTCTCCTTTCTTGAAAGAGAATCGACTCGACCCTCCTCGCGGGATTCTCCCCCCTTTTTCGTATTGCAATTTACATTTGGTTCTGCCCCATCGTCCATCGTAAGTATGAACGCGTACCATCCCGGTCGAACCAGCATCGCCCCCCCCCGCCATCTTCTGCAAATATTCTATGGGTGCGCACCCGTTTATCAAACATTAGCCGCAGTATTCGAGCATCTTTGGTTAAAGCTGGCGAATGCACACGCGCGCGCTGCCGCGCGTGCGTGCCGAAATTTTTGCCACCATAAAACACTGAGGTTTGAGGATGTCAAAATCAAGTGTCCCCAAGCACACATAAGAACACATCGTGTCGCAAGACGGATGTTTAACTAAAGTTTGTGCGCGCGTTCTTGCGAAGCCATTAAGAAAACCTTAGGGTTTTCTTCATTTTCAGAGCAAACTATCTGACGGGTTTCGCGCGCGCAAGTGTCGAAATCTCCCGAACGCCCTTGCACGCGTGCCGTCGCGAGAACCCTTTGCCACAACTGAGACGAAGTGTACGCGCGCGCGTCGTCGCGCGCGCATGCCCGAACCCGTCACAAACATCCGGCTTCGTAGCGAGTTCAAAACCGACTGTCCAAACATGAATAAAACACAAGGTTTCGCTACATTGTTTTTCAAAAAAGCGTGCGCTAGCGCTCTTGCGAACTATTGAGGAGGCCATAGGGTGTTCAACATGTTCATGAAATTCTGCCAAATGGACCTCCCGCACATGCCGACATCATTCGCACGCCCTTGCGCGCGTGCTGGGGGGGCACGATCCGTGTCAAAAAACCAAATGCGGGCCATTATGGCGCGTCGGTCGCGCGCGCATGTCGAACGCTTTCCAAAACCTTCATCACCGACGCGAGGACGCCGTCATCGTCGCCGGCGTGATCAGCATCGGCGCCCGCACTGGCCGCGCTTTCGTACTTGTCAAAATCGCCACCAGCATCGCTACGATCATCATCATCATGTCTACCGTTGTCAACCTTACCATGATACCGAGCCCGCCCAAGTTGCCGATTCGCAGTGAATGCCCACTGTGATGTGCCCCGCGGTCATCGCAACCGTTGCCGCGTCGGTCGCGCCAATCTGCGTGGCCGCTGCGTGCGCGTGCTTGGGTCGGCGTAGCCGCAAAGATGCACCAGCAAACGCCAAGCACGCATCGCAATCACCACCGCATGGGTTTTGCAAACCAACTTGCGGGTGGGTGGGTGGGATGTTTGCAAGAACGTAGGATGTACCAACTCGTTTGTTCAAATCAGATGCAAAGCATAGGTTGCGCAACGTCTATAGCACCACCTATGTGGCACCACGTGGGTTGCGCCACACAGGTTGCACAATGCAGATTGCACCACGTACGTTGCAGCACGCAGGTTGCACACAATCATTGGCAAATATTATACTGCATAACGCGTATTACAATACATGTAGCGTTTCACCAGTATTGCACAACATTGGTTGCACCACATAGGTTGCAGCATGCATAAAGCACAACCATAACACAGCATACATTGAACTGCAGTTATTGCACCTATCATGTTGCATAGCGTTGAATTCACATCATATAGCGCACACAACAGCCTTCACAACCAACACGGTACAACATATCTTGCATACGACGGATTGCACGACATAGATCTCAACGCGTGGATTGCACGACACAGATTGCACAACCTAGATTGTTGGAAACGCATTGTTCGGGGCCCACCATGCCTTGGGTCTGGCAAATTTGCCTGTACAGAGGAGGGTTGGGTGCGGCGTGGCGAAGCCCGCACGGAAATCCACTGTCCATGCATTTCGGGACAGTCAGGACGCATTTGCAAACCTTGTCGGTCAGCGCCGTTCGAAGGTGGCGGAGGGGCGGAGGGGGCGGGGGGCGGGAGACGTGCCATGCAAGTACATCTGCTGGAGTACAGCCACACGCCCAGACGCGCGGCGCTCCACTTGTTTCGATGCGCGGTCCTCTGGAGGTCTGGACAACCTCCCTTGGTGTTTTTTTGTTTCGTCCTAACTCTTCCTGTTGACGGTCCGTGAAGGGCCCCCGGAGGCCGCAAAACGGCTCAAAAATGGCCGCTCCAATTTTTGCCGGAGGTTTGGATCTCTGGGTGGTCCTCCTGTTCCTACCGGCAGTCCCGATCCTTTGCCCTGGGCCAGTTTTTCATCCTGGACATCTTGTTGAGGGTCCAGGGACCCGGCGAGGGCCTCCAGATGCCGAACATTGCCCAAACCTCTTGGCCTGACATTTTTTGGCGACGAGAGCATATCTATGGAGACAGCTTCATCGCCATGGGTGAAGCGGGTCTTGAGGGAAGCCGGTCCTGAGGTTTTTCTCAGTTTTCGGGCGTTCGGGGCCCTCCACGAGCCCCAGGATTGTCAGAAAGCAACTCCGGATGACACTCGTCCTGGGGGTCCAGGACTCGTTTCCCTCAGGACCCAGCTCCCCCATGCTAATCCTGAGATCCGACGTAGCGAAAAATTGCAGCATCGTGAAAAATCACGCCCGGAGCCCCAGATCCTATCTTTCTGCGTCATGTTTCGAGCCGGATCGATCTGCGAGGGTCCTGCGAGGCCCGAAATGGAGCGAAAACGCCCAGCTCAAAAAACATGGAGTCGCCAGGGTCTCAGGCCACGGTACCCAGACCCCCGACGTCATGATTTGTCATGACGTCGACACCCAGAGGTCTCGACCCATTCCCCAAGCTTCATGACTATCGTGTTCTTTCCCTCCACGTCATGGCCGGGCCCCGGGCCCGGCGGTTGCCGCGGCGCGCCAAGCGCCGTGGGGCAGCGGTGGCGGCGGCCGGCGTATGCGCGCTCTGCGCCGCCGCGGCGCTCGGGGCCAGGCTCTGTGCCAAGCAGAGGCGGAGCGTCCTGGCTTGCCTAGAAGCCCACCAGAGAATGTTCTGAGAACCTTCGGTGGTATGCACGAAATGTCCTTAGAACATTTCTGGTTCAGACTGTCTTGTTTCAACAGTTCGGGCTTATGCTCTCAGAACATTGTTTTGTTAATTCAAACATGTTTTGGTATAAGTATA